GTGTTATCAGCATAGTATACGTTCCTTCGTCAACTCTTAAGGGTGTAATCTAATGTATACAGAAATTTGATCGTAATTTTATTAATTTTTTTTTAATATTAAAATAAAATTATATTTCTGTAAATATGATTGTAATATGTACATCTCTTATTATTTATTTTTTAAACATTTCAAATTTTTGTTCAAAAATTTTTCTTCTATACTTTTTAACGTGAAAAGTCTAAAAAAGTAACTTTTAGTTTAAAAAAATAGCAAGATAAATTAAAGATTAACATTTTATGATCGTTAGATGTTATCACATTGAAAAATATCATTATAAAAGATTTATCGTACGTTCCCCAAACGTAATTTTTAGCGATAAATTATACGTTTACAGTATGATAACAGATTTCCATTAACATGAGATAGGGTAATTAAAGGGATTAATGTGCCTGCATCGATGAGAAGATATGAAGGTATCTAATATTTTATATATATATATATATATATATATATATATATATATCTTCCCTTCGTACATATTATATACCTGATGATGCGCGCATCATGCAAAATAGGTTTTTACACTGATGCTTTTTAATTGGCTCGGATATTGTCGCGATTACATCATCATGACATGAAAATAACATACTCATTACAAACACAGATTTTCATTAGTTGGAACTATTTAATGAATGTTTAATAAAGCTTGAATAATATAGCGACATAAGTATCTCCAATGTATTTTACGTTTATTTTTTCATAACGCTGATAACTGATATTTTATATTCATGACATTTTATGAAATTATATTTTATATCCTCCAATAAAGTAAAAATTTATCAACGTGTCGCAATAAAATGAGCGAGGGCAAATTTGTAAAATAAAGACGATGTAAAACAGAAAGAAGCTGTTTTTCGTTCAAATTACGTTATTACGAATTTATATATCTTTTTGAACGAATATAATTTCTATTTATTATTTTAATTCTATTTCTTATTGTAAATTAAATTAATTTTCACATATTACATCAATTGATAAGAATAAATTGTACATATTGCAATATATTACAATATTGCATTATTGTTATAAAATTTATACGAAAAAGTATCATATATAAGTAAATACATAATATCAAATATATTAATATCAAATATAAACATGTGTATATCATTTTAATAAATGTAATTATATTATCGAAATACTTTATATGTAATTTGCTGAAAAAAACACTAATGATAATTTTCCTTCTGTTGATGAAAACAAATTGGAACTTGTGAAACATCGATTTAGTTACTCATACGTTTACGGCAAAATTTAACTCTGCAAACCGTTTACTTTAACGTGTAAAATGTCACGAATACTCGTGCCTCGACTAATTGCCGATCTATTCGATCGCGATGTTCGTGCACGTCGCTCGTCACGTAAGTGCAAGTAGCTGTTGGTACTCGTGAAACAGGTATTCACACTCACATCTTTCGCCAGCAAGGAATCGAAACGAAACCTGGAAGCGAACCGAAGCGGCACGTGATCGCGCACGCGCCACCAGATAGAATGAGACGGGGGTGGTTTATCTTTCCGGCGCCGTAAACGTTGCAGATATTATGGATAGTGGACTGAGTTACGGGCTAATATTTCTTCGTAATTATTCTACGCTCTTACGCAAGAGGGGGAGAGAGAGGGAGAGATAGCATCATGGAAAGGAACCGGGTATATAAGGGTATATATATATATACCATCTTTCACCCTCCCACCGTGACTTCCACGTCCGAATTTAGATTCCCTTTTTTTATTACCTACTCTCGTAATATTGGATTTTTTTTACGATCCGCGATTAATCGGCGTAGTTGATTTATCGACGCCGTTTATTCGCTTAACCGATGACCTCATCTCATTCATTGCTTTATCGTCTGTCATTGTCATTTGTTGTCATTGCGATGAAAATAAGCGACTTTCATGAAGCAGGCTATAACTTAGATTTTTTGTTTTAATGCAACTTGTGAAACGATGATAACAGTTATATTTGAAGTTTTCCCTCTCGCATATTGCCATTTTTAAATGAAACTATAACAAGGTAGCTGGATTTAATTTTAGTTACTTTTTCAAAACCACTATCTTTTTCTATAGCTTGAAATGAGCAAAATACAGCTTCAAGTGAGATTTATCTTGTTAAAATGTGAGATTGCGTTTACATTTAATTTATTTTTTATTCAACGTATGCAAAGTTATTTTTCGAAGGTCTATTCTACGTTTCTTTATAAAGGACACTGTCGACGTTATTTATCGAATCGACATTTTATCTCGAATGGCGGTGGTCTCTCTTCGAGAGATGATAAATAAATAAGATGGCCAATAGAATAAAGATGAAAGAGCCGATAGAAAGGTTGGGGAACGCGTGAAAGAATGGAATAAGCATGCAAAAGTTATTTTATTGATGAAGCGGACAGAAATTCGACAAGAGATCGTGAAAGATCATGTGTATCATTCATTAATATAAATCAACCTATTATTTGACATTTCCAAGGGCAATTTACTTGTCACTGAAGCAAATATCTTTAGTCAATAATAAGCGAAAGTTGTAGGAAAGAGATAAAGATAAAAATAATAAAAAAATAATGATGCTAAAACATCATTTTTCTTTAACTGGATTACGCGAAGAGAAGATATCTATTATTCGTATGCATTTATATATTATATTATATATTTATATATATTGTTTATTTGTTACATCACATTTATAAATTGCATGATTTTTTTGCACAAAGACAAATATATAGCTTCTTGTATAAGAAAAGTATATTACTAAAGATTAAATTTAAAATGACTTGATAGTGCTATGAAGAGTGTTGAGTATTAAGAATTGAAACGTGCTAGGGAATAACTAACATTTGTATGCAGAAAGTGTCTTTCATCGTTGTTAGCTGTTCTTAGAAAGAATTTTCCGGCGATGTTTTCGCTCGGCATGTTCATTCGTAACGAAAGTCGTAAATGAGAAGAAAAGAATCCTCCGAGATAATGAAGACTATGAATGGTACAGAGTTTGCGCGTAATTGTTTGCGAGAATGTTTCTCTTTTCTTTGGAAATCGACCGGCAAAAAGATTCGTTGAAGTTAATTCCTCATTATTTTGCTACCCCTGGCGATGAAACGTATTGTAGCATTAAAATTGAATCAGCGATTAATACAGAATATTATCTAAATAATAATAATTCAAGAATATATTGTCTAAAGAATTCACGAATTAATTTCCTAAGTCTTATAAGCTTTTACACAAAATTGTCCTTTTTTGCACAGTCAAATAAAATTCGACTTTGAATTTTATCATTATAATTTAAAGAAAGAAAGAGAAGAAAGGAAGAAGAGAAAAATGAGAAAAACTGAGCTTTTTTAAATAAACTTTTTCTAAATAAATGTTTAAAAAATTATAAAATTTTACTTATGCGAGTAATTTTACATTTTCATGTCATGTACATTTAAAAAAATTGGTTTTTATAGAAAATCAGTTTTTTTGAGATAAATTGTCACTTATTTTTTTCTTATAACACTCATCGTTATTTACATTATTTTTAATTCGCAAATTTGTCTTTTATATTCATCTTAAAAAATACAATTATATGGTTTTCTTTCTTCGTGGCATTTGTCTGTTTCTATACTTATTAAGTTTTTGTATTTATACTTTTGCGTGTCTGTTCTAGAAATAGCTTCGTAAATTTAAAATTCCATCCAATTATATTCTCATTAATTAAACTCAATTATGTTACCAATTTCAGCTCACTGTGAATGCCGCATCCAACGAATGTTTTAAAAGTTGGGCCAATTTTTTTGTTTTTTAATTACTTGAATGTAGCTCGTTATTGTGGCTGAGCGTTTACTGATTACGTGCACGTCTAACTACGAGTACTCGCCCGTTGGTAGATGTGTTCCAGAATCGTAGCAACAATAGCGTTACGAGCTAACCAGCGTTATCAACGAAAAGATGCTTTTCAAACTGGTAACGTGACTTTATTGTTCGTTCTATGCTATTGTATCGAGTTATTCTCAATCGATAGAAGATTCGAATTAATGAAAGCATTGTCGAGAAGAGAGAGAAAGAGATATGTATAATTATTTTTTCGATAGTTGGCTTGAATTTATGCGTCGAATATTTTTCGTAAATTATTAACAACAGATAATAGAATGATTAGATCTTTTTCGAATCACTCGTATTTTATACGATTGTGATTAAATACAGTGCAGCTCTCATTCGATTAAAAAACTATTTTTGAAAGTGCAAAAATGATTTAGGCAAAGGACGAACGCGCGCTTTAGGCAAATTCATAGATTACTTTGTGAGAATGATGACTACGTTTGCGTCCAATTTGTAGATTTTTTTTTGTATTTTTTAATGCCTAACGCACATGTAAACGAAGTCATTTCGTGAAATTTGGCTCAAAAGATTCGATTGCATGCGTTGCGGATTATTTTCCATGTCGAGTATTTCTATTTTGAAGTGTAGTACTATGCGAAGTTTAATTGGAAATATCCGATCGCGCTTATTGGTATCGCCACCAAAAATAGCGTAAAATACTATTATGATTCATTTCGAAAATCATACTCGATCCTATCGGACTTTTTGTTATTCAATAAACATTATTTATTTATTAATATATATTCTTATGTTATACTTGGTATCGATCATTATCGGAAAATTATGTTTTGTATGTTTTGTATGTTTAATAAATATTTCTCTTATATAAATTCAATTTACATATATCCAAACAAAAATTAAATTTTATGATGTGGATTATTACATCTTCAATAAATGCAAAATTCATCGAAAAATTATGAATATAATTCAAATGAAAAAATATACTTCGTCAAAAATTTTCTACATTATTGACAAAGATATATATAAATTAAATAAAATTATGTATTATTTATTTTTTATTTATTAAACTATCGCATACTTTGTACGGCAATCTCTTAATTTGCAGATTATAAATGTCATATTTTTTAATCTTTGCGATATGTTTGTGCTTTCAGGATGGTCCGCATGATCGGCGATGAATTCCTCACGGAGGAGCGGGACCGAAAATATTATGCCGATCACTACACATGCTGTCCACCGCCTCTCTTCATCATTCTCATCACCCTCGTGGAGGTAAGTAGATAGAGTTATCCTATCTCGTAACGAACATACGGTGCACATCGGATAATGTACGTGTATGGTATCTTTTTGCTCCTTTATCCTCGCGTTCTCCGGTCGTGATTAATAAATTTTTAACGAGATTATTTATGCGCGCAGACGGCTCAGCGATGCAAACAATGACTATGTGCCATTAACCCGTATTACCGTTTTCTTTAATTTATCACGTATGTTATCCCTTTCTCTAGTTCCTCTCAATTTCTTGAAAAATTTTTAATACATGCTAGAATTTTACATCTATTAAAGATGTAATGTTAGATAGAACGTTTGATATCGCTTGATATAATTTAAAACTCTTTTAATTTTTATTAGATTGAATATCTGATATTAGAATCTAATTCTTTAATAGTTCTTTTAATAATAACCTCTCTTCAATTTGTGAATTTCCGTTGTATAATTTCTGCCAGAACTAAATGATTTTTTAATCAGAATCAAAAAATTTGTAATATTTATCGTGTCATCATTTATACAATCTTTCAATAAAATTATGTTTTATAATTATATTATATTATATTTAATATAAGTCATAAATAATATAAATTATAATCACAATTATATAAATTTTATATTACTTTTGCATTTTGAGTATTCATTTTTTTTTATCGTACATGTTTTTTTCCAGTCTCTTGGGATATATGTTAATTGCAAAAGTTTTTATTATTTCCATGCTGTAGATACGCGTACATTCATAATATCGTATTATGTTATCAAAGATTATAAAGATTTGTTCAGAGAAAATGATTGCTAACAATCTAATATCCTGTAATCAAAGAGTTAAAAGTCATTCGTCTTGTCGCTGCCTCTCTCGCGCTTCGTTATTTTTTATACTTTTGTTAAGATGAATAAATGAAATAATCGTCTCTTTTATAATAAACGCGTCAGATATTATGCGTGTGCATATTAGCTCGCCTTCCTTTGATCTTTGCGCACATCCTCGCCTTGACTAATGCCTGCTGCTTTGAGTCCTTGTCTATTTTTTTTTATCGCCGTTCATTCTCTAATGATCATTTTTTCATTTTTTTTTCTTTCTTTCCATTCCCTTGTAGCACGCGCGGCGTGAAAATCTTTGAGATAGATTTATTCTCCCGGCCGACCTCGTTAGGCGACGATTTTAATCTTCCACAAAGTAATTCGATATTCGTAAGTCGCGCCCTCGTTAAAAGCATGCTCCGCGATACGGATAGACATCTCTTGCGCACTAATACTAATTAAAATTGCGTCTAGTTATTACGTCACACCTTTATCGCGCTCGGTGGCGCTATTATAAATATTAAAGATTGATTTAATATAACATGATAATGTTTTAAATAGGACAACTGAAAACTTATAGCGCATGTGCGTGAATCTAATTTTTTTATATATTAGAATAAACATATATATTATCATTATATGTATATTATTTTTCTCTCATATTATGATTTGCGTACGATAAAATTTGATGAAGGTATATTATAAAAATATTTGAACATATCGATCATTTATATGAAAAATAACATGATTATATCGATTATTTAAATCGACTTTGGAACTCATTCCATGATTTTGTTACAAAATATTACAAATACTTAGAACATACGCATAATTTTATACATCACTCGATTTTTGATTTTTTGAATCATCGATGTACAAGAAATACGCAGAAAATTGTTGCAAATGCGATAATTATTTCATGATGCGTCACGTCACTGTTTTTTTTTTATTTTTTCTATTTTATTATTTATCGCGGCGAAATGAATGAAAAAACGATGTAATATTCTTTTATGCTGAGCGGTTAGTGCAAATATTATTGCGCAAAGTTGCGCATTTCCTTAAGCATCGAGAACGCGTTACAAGCATATTTAATAAATTTTTAACGACCACAGTTTATGCATAACTAAGGCACAAACAACAACACAATGTTGACAGTGACAACGTGGACTGGAAATTCAGATCTCAAGTTCAGAATACCATTATTAATCTCTCCGACAGGAATTACGCGCTCTTACTCGCACATGTTAGCCGCTAACAATGTTCGTCGTTATAATAATAAAATTAACTCGACTGTAGCTAATGCCGAGTTGGACGAATGAAAAGGGGAAAAGATTTTGCTGAAATTTTTTTCATATTGCTTTGTACACAATTTTCGCACGGCATGATTTAGAATAAAATTACATAACTGTAACTACACGTATTACGTTAATGGATGAATATTTTTTTGAGAACTGTTAGTTTTGACTTTTTATTTGTCATTATATATATATGAAATTAAAACTATTTTTGAACAGGAAAACAAGAAGAGATTAAATTTTTTATAACTAATAAAAGAAATATATATATATTTATATATATTGTTGGTCATTAATATTGCAATACTATATATATTTATATATTGTATATTGCAATTTTAATGATCCACAGTACATGTATATCATTAGTTAGATAATTTAATTAGTTAGATAATTTATAATTTAATTAAATAATTTATAATAAAAATGTATGATAGAAATTTATTCATTATAAAAATACTTAATATATTGGAACCGAATTAGAAATTGAAAGTCGTTACAAATGATGAGTGGATTACAGCCGCGATCCAATTAAATCCTGGTTTAACCGCGCGGTCTATTTTTCTCTCAACTTATCCTTTGATGCATCAATCGCGCGTGATCCGAGTATGAAATCTGGTTTAAGCGTGGCACGCGGTCATTCGTAATCCGAGTACGCTTGTTAATTAAATCTCTAAGTATCTCTCCATGTGGTGTGCAAACTGCAATCCCGAAAGCGACATGTGCGGTCACCGGGATAAGATGCATCCCAGTACGAGATAAGTGCTCACGATGTACGATAGGGAAGGGTAAATTGGTATCGCTAGGTTCGCTAAAAGCGTACTTAATTGCCACTGCTTGGTCGTCATATTTCACGATTTAATTAAATCGCAAGTATCGCGCTTCTTTTTAGCTTTGCTAAAAGGTAGCGCGCTCATAATTTCATCGGATGGAAGCTAAAATTGGATTTTTAGCTCGCAGTAAGCGAAATGCAAATGAACGAACAAAGAAGAAAAAAGAAAAATGTCGCAATATTACCGATGAGTAAATTGGAGAGGAGGGGGGGACTTGTTTATATATGAAAAGATATCTATATAATTTTTAAATACGGCATCTCTTTCATCCGGGTGCTTTTTTTATTAATTTCTTTGAAGCCGCGAGCTGCTCTATCACATCGCGCAAAGTCAGAAAAAAGAACCATTTTGCTCAGCTTATACTACGAACTTTATAAATTCTCCAATCACAAAGCATTTTTTATTAATAAAATTCTTAGGTATTTTTCAGATGTATAAGCATTGATGTGTTAATAATATTAAATAAACCCAGATTGTGTGTGCACCGTAATAAGTCGCGCTTGTGAAAAACGCAAAGGAGAAAATAAATAAGATAATTTATTCTTCGCAATTATACAAAGTAAATTAGCTGACGTCTGATAACAGCAAAACAGAGGGAGAGAGTGAAAGACTTAACCAACAATTAATTACCGTAAAAAATAAATCTTGACATAAAAATTCAAACTTATAATATAAACGATTATAAAGAAACTATATTAATGTTATTCGAAATTATATATTTAATTTATTCGTAATACGACTATTCAGTTTCGTCGATAAATGAGTAATTATTAATAACTACTGTACATATATAAACGTATATCGATGAAAGAAAATCATTATGTTTATATTTTATTTAATATTGTTCTCTTTTGCTTTCGGTGACTAGAAAAAAAATAAAGCGTTCCTATAAAAAATTCGTCCCGTTTTCGAAACTAATTCGACACGCAATATAAATGCTCCTTACTGGAAAGTGAGATATGTGCCGCGACGAAGCGTATTAGAAAAAAAAAACATAAGACTCGCGCCGATTCCTGAAATCGATGGAGGGGGACGCGAGCTCGAGCCTCGAGCCGCATAAACACTATCGTATTTACCGTGCTAGGTCAGTCTATCGAACGCGCGCGCTACCGGGGTATGTAATATGTTACGTTCGTCTATATAGAAAACTAATTGCGTATACGTATAATTAAACCGAAATACGATCGAAATCGATTAATAACGATATCAATTAACAATCAATAAAAACGATATCAATTAACAATCAATAATAACGACATAAATTAACAGTTAATAACAACGATATTAACTAACAATCATTTTCCGATCGAAGGAAAATTCTGAAACTAAAATCGTAATCGGTGAATATATCGTCGTTATCGAAAAAACTTAGCAAACGATTGGCGTACTTGAGAGATTTTTTTTCCTTGCAAATTTTCTCGGATTGTTTCGTGTTGTTTTCGGCGCACAATATTAATTGCCGCAAATATTCGAGAGTAAGATTTTTGCTAAATAAAATAGAATATTGGACACTTATTTCGATTTCGTCGTAATAGGTATTTTAAGAGCGTTAATGTTTGATTCATTGTCCTGAATTTAGTGACAGAGACCGCGGCAATTGGCACCCCTTCTGTATCGCATTCTCGCTAGTCATCGAATGGCAATCGTCGCAAATAGTCGAGTTTTTTTTTAAAAGCGTCGAATAATTACCTCGAGATAAAGTCCCTCGCAAATAATCGATATTTCGTTGACGTACAAATCGCGAATAACGTCGAGTTTTTTCTTCGAACATAAAAATATCATTCGTAGAAACGTTCGTTATTAAATTATCTGTAGGTAGACGCGAAAATACGCGGTATAAAGTACAAACGTATTTAATCGGCGTATGAATCGCGAGTAATGTTTAGTTCCTTTGAAACGTTAATACTTCCTTTGAAACGTTCGTTTCTAAATTATCCGTAGTCGCGAAAATAAAATACAATGTTTTTCTCCAGGAACGTGTATATACATATAAAAAAAGACGCGGAGACTCGCCGGGCGATTTCCTGGAATCGCGATGGAGGGGGGATACAAGAAGTCGAGTCACACATACTTTCGC